ATGTATGAACAACTCTGCATCTAGCAGCAGAAGACAACAACAGACCTGCAAGCCTGTTACAAAAGAAGAAATGAACACTTCTATTGGTATCCTGCTTATCATGGGTGTAGTGCGTCTTTGTGAAATTTGATTACGTTGGTCGCAAACGGACATGTACTCAAGCACACGTATAAAAAACGCAATGAAACGCGATCGGTTTATATCAATATTGAAATACATAAATTTTTCCGATAATTGCACCGCTAGAACTGAGAACCGTTTTTATAAACTGAGAAATATAGTTGATGCAATTGTTCGCACGTTTAAGAATACTGTGAAACCTGGTACAATGATTATAATCGACGAATCCATATTTCCGTGGAGAGGACGCCGCAGTATTTGGCAATATATTCCAGCAAATGGTATAGGTATGGGATAAAAATTTATAAACAGTGCCTTCCGGAAGGATACACTCACAACATTTATATTTATGCCGGAAGCAATGAAACTGCAATAGTGAAAACACATGCGCATGTAGTGTTGGCATTAATAGGAGCATTACTATATGAGGGCCGCATATTATTTATCGACAGCTTTTATACGAGTGTCCCTTTAGCCGAGGATCTTTTGCAAAAAAGAACATTCACTTGTGGGACTGTAAAAATGAATCAAATATTTCTACCGCGGCAGGCAAAGCAGAAGCAACAACGAGGTGGCTTTATTAGTTTGCAAAATCGGAGCGGTGTTAAATTTTTTAAATTTACATACAAAAGGCCAGTATGTATGTTAACTACTTCACGAAATCGCAGGTATATCGCAGTTCGAGGGAAAAATAATAAACTAAAGACAGACACTGTTCTTTTTATGTAATGCAGCTAAAAAGGGGGTTGATTTATGCGAGCAAATGCCTTCATATTATAATTGTTCGGGTAGAACCATAAAATAGTACAGGAAAATTGTAATAGAATTAATATGCGGGACATCCCTCGTGAATTCATGGCATATACACAGAAAATGGGGCACTAAAAGGATTAAAGCTTTAAAATTTCGCGAAGCAGTTATTGATTATCTTTTAAATAGAATGAATCCATACAGCGAAGAAGCATCCAGCGAAAATGAAGTAAAGCCAAAAAAATATTCGCGTTTTCAGGAATCGTATCAAGGGCCCGCAAGAAAAAAGGGACAGCGGTGCAAAGAATGTTACAAACGCATCTCCAGACGAAAGATATTCAGTAAGCCGCGAATAGAGCTAAAAAGACAATAGCCTACTGTAATCGTTGTACGGACCAGCCGGCACTCTGTCTACCATCCTTTAATAAATTGCATAGCAAAATTAAATAACTGTGTTTAGTTTAAAATATTGAATTCCTACGTTTCTACCATTGAATGTTTGTTTATAATGTTGAAATAATATAACATAAACCTATTTTGTATTAAATATTTTATGCAATATGAGCGTGACCCACCGTGATTCACGCTGCCTCACGGGACAGACGCGTGTGACCCACCGGTGATGCACGCCGACGTCAATGTGTTAATATCTTATGTTATCAAATTCATCCTAAATTACTTACACGTGTGTTATTGTACTGTTACAGTATATAATAACCCGTCACAGTGTGCATATAATTTATATAATATAAGTTCTTTTTCAAAACGCTCATGTAATACTATGAATTGAAAGTTGTTAAGTGAACATAATTATTCAATGCAATTATATTCAATTATATTTAATTATATTCAGTTATCCCTTAAGACCTGGCATGAATATTACCCCAAAGTTATATTTGTTATATTTACAATAATGATCGTTGGGAAATCGATTTGATCATAATCTGAATTAGTATTACTAGTTGCTAGGTTTTTTCAATGAAATGAGGTAAGAATTGCAATGGGTTTAAATTTCATTTATGATAACTTCTAAGTATTAATAAAATAATTAAGTAACATATGTTCAACTAACTAATATTTTATACTATTAAATACTTATAATGTTTACCATGTACACTATTTTACTGCTATTTAGGAAATACCTTTATTTTCGGGTAATTAATCCGAAATCCCAGATGAAATTAAGAATGCTGGATACATTTGGCGAATTAGAGTGGGGAGTGAAAAAAAAATATATACTTAGTAAAATAATATGTTTAAATAGTAGAATTTAGAGTAATATCCATGAAATAAAAATTACAATGAATAGTTATAATATATATCAGAAAGTAGTAGAGGATTTAGAGATTAGTGGAATATTTTGTGAGTGACATTCACCTTTTGTTCCGTTAGGAGGGGTGAGGAAGGAATATATCGAATGATCTCGTTACATGGTTAACGTGTTCCGATCCTGACATATGCTTCTAAGAAGGGTAGTTTAAAAGAAACTCCGACAATATTCGAGGTGATATCTTTATTTCTACCCATGTATTCTCATTGTCGTAACGAGAATAGTCTCCACGTGCAATGTGGTTCTTGATCTTCACTCTTCAGATGTAAATTTGATTTTCGAGTGGGATATAATTATATACCAGATGTTTGTGTTTACGATATCGCATCTATAGTTATGGTAAAGTATTCACTATGGTGCCGCTGTTTATTGGAAGAAGAGTGCATAATAGCAGGAATAAAATAAAAACAGAAAAATAGTTAATAGAGCAGATAATAATTTTACATCTAGAACAGAATTTTATATCTATCTAACTAGAATTATATAATCAACTAGTGGATAGTTCATTCCCTATTTGTAGTTCTCATAGAGGTTGTTCATCAGCTTCTTCTTTTCCTTTATAAACTGGCATTTATATTGTTTTACCCTTAGAGTGTGGACGACTCTCTGCCGAAGCACTTCAGAGGGACTGTGCGTGCTTAGCGCTTACGATCGCTGTGGACGGAATACACTTTGCTCGTCCGAGCTCTGTTGGTTAACTGTTCAAGGCGCAAGTATCAAGTTTTTATTGTAATTCTTTTGCAGTAGGTTAAATAATAAAAGAACATTATTTTCAAGCATCAATTATCTATTAGAATCAACAAAATTTACAATGTAGCTCAACATAAAAATACGGAACAAAAGCTAAACAAAAATTAATAGTTTGTTTCTCTATGATAAATTTTTTTATATTGTTAATATTGTCGTACGTATACTATATTGTTAATACGATACAAATGATACTCGGAACAGATATACAAAAGAATAAACCTGTACTCGCGTCCTTTATTTTTTCCATCATTTGTGTTTTTTTACTGCCGCTGTTAAAGAACACACATATATTTGTCTCATATAAAGTTACATGTAATACTATTGCATGGAAGACAGAAAAAATTGAACAACGCACATATGCGTCCACCGTCTCTGCTGGTGACTTTCGCCAGACGAACATATGCATCCATAGCGCTCTAAGGGTTAAAGATCGACGTCGAATTTATTTCTATGGCGGGTTGATATACCTTACAATTTTTCTGGAATTATTTCGCTATTATTCATAAATATATGTCTATCCTTAAATGGTACACTTCATGTTACAATACATCGGTATAAATCAAATATTTGTGTAAAAACGTGAGTTCATCGTGTGACGAATTTGTCACATCTCTGAAAATAAGAGACGTCAAGGAGCAAATATGTATAATTAATGATGTAAGATATGGATCTGCATTTCAAGACTATCGGTTAAAGAACAATGTTTCTTTTTTTTTTAATTTTGCCGTTATTTGGAAGGAAATGCCTCATTCAAGAATTATAGAAACATTTCAGTCACTGCATAATTTAAAACGAATATTTCATTAACTATACTCTGTCAACTCAACTGTGACAATTTTTGAAAAATGCTGTCGAATAATTTTTAAACACGCTCGATGTTCATTTCTTATCACCCCCTTCCCACGAATAGAAAAAGGAAGAAGTGAAAAATACGCGAATAGCAAGGAAGGAATTTGATCAATAATACATTGAAAATATCCGAAATATTTGCAAGTTCGACGAGGCCATGAAATGTAAATAATTGAAAATGGAGAAAAGATGGGGAGATCTGAAAAATTTCAAATTTTTCAATAAAATTAAAAATTTCAATTATTGTTCGAGATGGAATAGCGATGAGATTTTACCTAGTCGCTAGCCAGACATATTTTAATTCGTATTCCGTAGGTGAGAGTGTATGTAGTAGACCTATGATGAGAAAATTTATAAACCAGTTGCGGTCGATGCCTCCCAGCGGGGCATTAGCAAGTCAAACAATACAGAATACTACAGAAAATTAGGGAAATTATGAATTTTGTACTTTTACATATTATAAGTAGTATTAAACACAAATTAGTGTCAACAAATTCTGTGTGTTCTAATATCCATATGTTGACTTTAAATCCTGTACAGAAAAGTGGCTGCGAAACGCTAAATTTGCTCTGCTGAAACCTGCCGACCTGAAAGGGTTTACGTTGCGGAAGTATAATGTAGGTCGAAGTAAATTAACAATGTTGGTAAACACCTGATTATTACAGAAATAATATTTATGTATTAAAATTCTGAGTATTGCATATAAATTATCAGGCTTTGCCTGAAAATTTGCCAACAATATCGCGATGAACCATGACTTAATCATGCTGTGGCACGCGACAACACCATAATTTTTCGACAGAACTCCTGCAGTGATTCCATATGATACCGTGTCTTTAAATCCAAGTTCACTTTAGGAGAATTAAAATCCCTAATTTAAAAATTCTAATGTAACAAATGAATCTAGAAACAAGTCAATCTGGTAGGCCAAGCGGCAATGATTGTTCCAATAAAAATTGTTCTGTATCTCGTCCTGTATAACACGTTCAAAAATCAAAGGGATCGACCCACGCATTCCGTAGTTTTCAACAATTTTATGTATTTTGACAAAAAACTGGTAAAAGCACATTACTTTTTCCAGCTGCCCCGATACATATTTCTGATTAAGGCACAAATACAGCCCTTTGTTGGAAAACCGGAAAAAAAGACGAGTTTAGGGTAAAGCCGCTAAGCTGCATATTTACCAAATTTTATTTTTAACTCATACTACAACAAATATTGTCGATGTTCTGTCTAATGGAATTGGTAAAAAATTATGATTTATTCCACAGATTTCTGATGATTGACCATAACATAAAACTGGACATAGACAAGATATATTAAATTGATTTATTCCATCTGGAATTGCATCAATTTTAATACTCAAAGATAGAATCGCTCAAGAATTAATTACTTGAGTTGATGAAACAATTAAAGACGAAGGTAAATTTATCGGAACTACTATATACTATTATCAGTATCAAGTAAACGAAATTGATCAATTAAAGAATATGTCATTATGGAAGTATCAAATTCAATAGTATTAAATTCTGGATATTCATGTGATCAGTATCATGGATGTCCAATCGATTTAATTGAAAAGAAGGATTTCATCTGGGAGAAATTTTGAATTAATCTTTTTAACATTGAAATTACCATGCTATAGATGACAGATTTAAAATTCGTCATTATTCAACATTAAGGATAAGGAATATTGTCACGAATTGGAAAAAGGATCGTCCTTTTATGGTCAAAAATTGAGAATCAAGGATAATCGACGAATTTAGAACTGAAAAGTAGAAAAGGAATACTAGGCGGAAGAGAAGAAATTTTGAATTATTCTTCTTAGTATTGAAATTACTGTGCTAAATGATTGGTCCAAAATTCGTCATTATTCAACATTAAGGATAAAGAATGCTTTTATGAATAATATCGGGCGATGCCCATCGAAGATAATTCCTTTGTAGGAAAAGATTGAAAACATTAATTCGTTTGTCTCCTAATTTATTTGAGTTATATTTATATCATTTGAAATTTATATTAACATTTTATTACGAATATTTGTATTAAATATTAATTCATTTGCCTCTTAATTTTTAAGCAATTTCGCCATTAATTAATAATCACAGTTATTTCTGACTTTTATTTTGTAGGCACAATTCTAATTCGTAACTCAATTCCTTAACGGATAAAGACTATTGAATATAATTGCACAATATTTGACTATTTCTTGCTATAAAAATTTGCGTGAATCGTGTGTATTCTATGTCAAATTTTTCGAAACATCTAATTCTGTTCTATACAATAATATACAATTTTTCTCTCCCCACTCTTTTCCAAAAATTAAATTTAAAGAATTCAGAAATTACTATTATTTCATGTGAAAAGAAAGTCCAGCTATTTCCAGATTGAAATTGCAGTTCCTATACTTTACAAGAGAAACAGCAAATCGTGTAACGATTCTTCAATAAAACATATACTCAATCGTTACACGTTTGAAAAATAAGTTTCTAAAACCAAAAAATAATGACTTTAATTTATATTAAGTAATATTTATCGGTTCATTCGGAAGGATTTTGCGCTTTGACATTGCACGAGGAGTTGGTGAAAAGGAAATGGAATCGCGCGAAGCGGTGGAGTTAAGGAATTGATGGAAGTCAGTGCACGATTACTTTAAGCGGAGTGTTTATTAAGTCGTGTTTCATTGATGGAATTTGGAGGTTCTTGCAGGACACTTCGCGGCGAAGAAGCTGAGGTGAAAAATCAGCGTCTGTTTTGCATTATAAATTCGACGCTGAAGATATGCCAGCGTATCGTTTAATATTCATCGGATTCACTATAATTGGCAAATATGGTATACTAATAACAACTATTCTCCTATCCTTTTATTTCCGCTCATTTATGTCGTAAATTTCCTTTATCCTTTCTCGATTTATTCCCTTAAATAGTTTATTCATTTACGTCTAACTCATTTATTTATATCTTCTAAAGTCCATTTTCTTAAATTATTTACCATTTAAGACACTGCTATATGTTTAGGCAAAACTAAGCTGTATATGTTTGATATTCATTAACATCTATGATTGTAATATTAACAATTTAATCACGTATTCAAATTTTATTCGAATAGTATAAATAGAAAATTTTGAAACGTGCATTAATCCGATTGGGAAAAATGTAAACAAGCATGTGAGAATTAAAATGGAATTTAAACACTGATTTTCAACAACTTTTTATACCGGAACGCGAGTTACAGGTTTTCTGAATGTTATCATATTCGTTCTGTTATAAAGTCAGTCAGAATATTAGAGATACGAGGAATTACACGCGAAACGAGGGAGAAATGGATCGGTGTAACGTGGAAAAAATTAATGAAGGGGAATGAAATCATGTTGAAGAATAGGGCATATTAAAGGTACATTTTCGTTATTTTTTTAATCGAACAGATGAAGAAAAGCGACTGATGTTCTGCTTTCGCTGAAAGAGCTACATCCTTTGTCTAGAAATATTGACCATTGCAGATTGAAGTTATAGACGGTAATCAATGTTCGACAAATATGATAATGAGAAATTGTAGAAGGCGAGTAAATATCTGATGTTAAAAATATAAGTAAAATTTTGTATGAGTGATTATATAAAAAGATCCACGTAAACAAATGTAAAATATATAGATAAATATAATGATATACGTTTTCCGTAATTTACATTAATATTAGAGAGCATATTCTCCCTAATTACATCTGCATATTTAAAATTAGACTTTTACACATTCTAAGATCCGTTTTATTAGATTCTTCTATATAAAAGCTTTTTAATTAACGAAATCACTTCACTCTCCTTCGCATGACTTTTCTTTTCATCCCATAGTATCGGCTTTCCCTAATTTCACGTGAATTCTTAGAATAATTTGCGATTCGTAGAATGTACGACTTTCTATTCACGCTTTTTCTAAATGTGTGCCACCTTCTTCATTAATATCATATCAGCCAAATTCAATTTTATTAATTCTTTGCAGCATGAAAATTTTTCAACGAATCACCATTATGTGCTAATATCGTAACGAAACGCTATTCGAGGCGGAATATTTTGTTTGGGGAAGGAAATGAAATTATAAATGGACGCTCTCTTGCCTTATATCATCGAAAGGAAGAACACCAAGTAACGATCAGCAGATTATTAAACTCTTTATAGCGACGCCAGTAGAGTGCAGAGATTTAGAGTCCCATTTGAATCGTATTGTATTTACCAGAGTCGAAAACATGTTCGACGTACGTGACTCGCCGTACAAGTTCGAAAGCAGGCTTGACGCGCGGATTCCCGCATGCGTGTTTCTGACAAGCACGTGAATGCTTACGAGCAAGTTCGTTCGAACTCGTTCTGCTCAAACTGAGATAAGATAAGGCTTATCAGACTCTCACGCTTGAACACCAACGGTACGCTTCTCCTTCGCGTTTCCCGATCTCGTTGCGGCTAGAACGTACCGCGATACTGTCCCGATTATGCCCGTGCAAGAAGAATCAGTCCTCTTTGTCGTGACTTATTTCGACGTGATTGGCTAAGTATATAGTAGACGGGTTAAATTACGAGGATATATTACGAAATCAGAACTGGATAAACGATGAAGAGCCATCCGAGAATGTACATAACGGTATATGGTGGAAATGAATCTCTGGGAGAAATGGATGAGAAATTTTTCGACAAAATTTTTGGGCAAATGAGGAGAGATGAGATTTTTTAAAGGAGAACACCGATGGAAGTGTATCGGATGGTGTGAGTGGTGCCTAGGATGAGAGGCTTTGTTAAATCGGAAATCTACGTGGAGTAAGATTGAAGTGAAACAGGAAGATGATAGTTTGACCTTTAACTATGTTTAACACTAGATTTACGGACGCTACCTGTATACCTATTTCTGAGGACATCCTTCAAATTGACAGGTAAAGGAAACCACGTGCATTTTTTAAAATATTAATATAATTTAATAACAATTATATATAATATTATCAGTCTTAATGTAAGTTAACTAAGTCTGTTAACTCCATATAATTGGAGCAACCATTCCGTCAAATTGACGGGTTCCGTAAATCTAGGGTTAAGTATATGCAAACGTAAATTTAAATATTCATTTGCCGTGTAAATAGGATAATTAATAATAATCGAATGAGATAGGGAGTGGATTATGGACACAATGGATAGCTTACTGCGTGGTTAAAGATACATTTTAAAGAAAAAAATGATAAAAGCGATATCGTGACAGAAAGTTCTTGCCTTTGAATTTTTCATTACATCCAAATAGGAATAACTATGACAATTTTATAAAAGATAAAGAGGGTGCCGAACTACCAATATCAAAAACTAACTAAAAGAGAATAGCATTAGCTACTTAATTATTAAACAGCCAATTAAATTTGCAGTCAATAGATGTAAGAATTGTTTAGTTAACTCTTAATAACAAATTGCCCAGAGTATGAATTTGTAATAAAAATAGAAAGCACGAAAATAAGTTACAAGATTTAATTATTAATTTCTCGTAACACTGACTAAATGAACTTTATGGGAATAGATAGCTTTAGGTAACACTGCTCAATAATATTTAACTTTTCTATAAATGTGTAATAACCATTTGGTAATTCTTTCAGAGTTTACTTTAACAAAGACGAATAGGTAATCCAATTGTTCTACCACCCTCAATTTCTTAAAAAAACGTGCGTTTATCCAAAAATAAACAGTAAGAACGTTAGGAGGTTCATTCTTGTCTTACAAGATAGATGAGAGTATCCTGAGTTAATCAATGTCTCTAATTAAAATTATTTTTGTTTCTGAATAATTATAACTAGTTATCAGTGCTTATAGATAACTCTCCGAGCATACTTCCCACCAATATTCTGAGATCTTTATGAAAAGGTTATTATATGATACGCATTTTCTTCACATTAGAGTATTCTTCAGATTTTTCTGAAGAAGAAACCACCCAGAAACAATATTAGGATGATGCTCAGTATAGATAGAACGGTAAAATATATAGGCAAAACGAAAGACAAGCATATAGGGAGTATTACGGGTAATTTAACACAACGACGCGTACAATAGGATTCCTTAATTTAGAAATCCTATAAATGGTATTACTAATTTTGCATAAATTATTGAATTTATTGCTAATATCCAATTGATATTGCTAATAACGAATTACCTGAACCACACATTTACAATAAAAATAGGAAATGTTAAGAAAATATCGACTCTTAGAACGAAGAAGTAATTATTAAGGGAACCGACAAGATTCGAAAACCCTCGGCCGATTTCGGCAACATACATGGGTCATAAAAAGGGCACCGCGCGGCTGCCCAGGTCTTCACCGGCTGAAGCACGGACGGGACACTTCGAAGTCTGGACCAGGCGCTTCCGGGACTTCATCCGCTGGGCCTTGGCGACCTTCCCGAGGGTCAGAGTTGGGTAGCTTACTGTGGCAGGTGGGCTTGGAAATTCACTTTTAACGCCGTCTTTCTTCCGGTCTTATTTTCTCTTTTCTATTCAAATATTTCGTTGTTGTTTTTAATGTCTCATCGTTCCCCTTACTGATCAGTTCCTTTCCAGGGCTAATCTACATACTTCCTTTA